CCCCCAAAATAAAGCAGTACGCAATAACTTAATATGTATTTAGGTGTTTTTTATAACGCCCGCTTTCAGTTATTATTATAAAATAATTCAAATAGTACGCGCGCTCTGATTGGCCATAAAACCATTTTACATGAGCGTATGTAAACACGGTTTTCGTTCCTCTTTCATTAGTTATTTTATAAAAGAAATGTAAAATGGTTTCCGTGTTTACATTGCCTGATGTAAACACTTGGGAGGTTGGGAGAACACTCGATAAGCTGGAAACCACTCTGCTTCACGACGTGGTTTCCCACGCTTATCTCGTGTTCTCCCAACCTCCCGAGTGTTTACATCAGGCTATGTAAACACGGGAACCATTTTACATTTCTTCATTAACTTCCATGGAAATTCAAAACTTAGGCACACCAGCGTGCTATATAATATACTGTTCCTCTTTAACTGTAATCACTCCGTAAAGAAGTCTCAATTAGAGACGAAACGCGTCCGAGATAAACGAGAAACTTACAACTACAAGAAGTGTTTCTTTGTGCGGCTGGCTTGTCTTAGTTAAAAATAAAAGATAGGAAAAATTACAAATTTTAAGAAAAGTGTTTTGGTGAATTCTAGAAAAGCGGGGTAAATTCTGAGAATTCGTCCTACAAGTGGGATAGATCCCAGGGTGCCAAATGCAATCTTTAACCCGATTTTCCATTTTTTTTGCAATGAATTCTAGAAAAACGGGATGAATTTTGAGAATTCCGCCCGCAAGTGGCTAACACGCTAAGTTCGCAAATGCCATCTTCACTCCGATTTTCCATTTGATCAGTGAATTTTAGAAAAACGAGGTAAATTCTGAGAATTCATGCTACAATTGGCTAACACGCTAAGTTCCCATATGCCATCTTTACTCCGATTTTCCTTTTTTTTAAACAAATTCTAGAAAAACGGAGTAAAATCTAAGAATTCATCCTCCAAATGGAATAGATCCCAAGTTACCATATCCAATCTTCAACCCGATTTTCCATTTTTTTTTCAATGAATTCTAGAGAAACGGGATTAATTCTGCAAATTCATCCGCAAGTGGCTAACACGCTAAGTTCCCATACGCCATCTTTACCCCGATTTTCCATTTGATCAGTGAATTCGAGAAAAACGGGGTAAATTCTAAGCATTCATGTTACAAGGGAATAATACCCGAAGTTCCCATATGTTATCTTTACCTCGAATTTCCTTTTTTTTTTTCAGTGAATTTGACAAAACTTCGAATTCATCCGCAAGTGGCTAACACGCTAAGTTCCCATACGCCATCTTTACCCAAATTTTCCATTTGATCAGCGAATTCTAGAAAAACGGGGTAAATTCATCCTTTAGGTGGAATATATCCTACTGACTTGCCATAGCCATCTTTACCCCGATTTTCGATTTGATCATTGTGTGAATTTGTCGTAAACGGGGTAAATTAAGACAAATCCACCCAAAAGTACAATAAATCCAACGATAATTTCGAAACAGTACTAAAAAAAGAACAGCTAAAATCAGTGGAACCGCAATAAAATCACATCAAAATCTACAACTTCAAATTTGTACGGAGGGCTCGGTGCGATATAACATAAACCTACAATATTCAAAATAAACAACTGAAGGCCAAACTTCTGTGATTGAAGGAAGACTTCGTGACGCAGACAAATTATCACAACTTTGAACTCTCAGTCGATCTCACTTACGGCAGATCAGCGAAGCGTCAAAAATATATAATTTTATGCCGACGAACCATAATCTATGATCTTCAACTATTAAAGAAAATAAAACAATTGTGATATGACGCCACATTGTGCGTTTGTCTCAGCTTGTGGGTAAAATGTTGTCAGTGGAGTCGCAAGTCGAACAATGTAGACAGTAAATAAAGCAAGACTGCAAATAAAGCGTGAACAATAAGGCATCCTTTGGTCGAAAGTCGTTTTGTTATTTACGTAGCTAGTTATTCTTCCACGTTTAGGTTATAACAACGATGCGATCACATGGCGCTAACGAAGGAACCGGATAGAACTTCAAAGAAAATAATGTGAGAGGCCAATAATCCGGTTCGCAATGATCATGCGAACAGCATATTTTCTTGAGATCAGTTACCGGAAAATACTGGTCAAATTTTCCACTTATCCCGACCCCCCTTGAATGAGTACTTTTGCTTGAAAACATTACTACAACGAAGTCTCTTAACCAGTCCCGAGCCGCGTGTCGCTCGATAGATCACAGGATATGATTGGCCACTGTATCACATTACGTCAGAGGACATATCTGCAATAAGAGGACAATGCAACGGTACAATGTGGATTGGCCTGCCGCCATCTTGAACTCGTAATGTAGGTGGACCCTGGGCGAGAGTTTGACCCATTCCCAATCAGATGATAGAAGAAGCCTTAGTTTGGACATTGAGGGACTCGTTTCCAACAAAATGCACCGATTATGTGGTCGAGACTTGAAGGGAGCTCTTCCGCTTTATAACTGCTACTATGATGAGAGGACTGAGGAGAGCAAGCACTGGCACCCTGCGGACTAGGAATCAATCGAAAGGAAAACTGAGGTTTCACTAGAGATGACTTTAAGAGGACACCATCCCAAAGTGGACAAAATAAACATAATAACAACTACTCTGGGAGAGTAACGAGGTATATGAGTTGTAAGAAGCCTGACGTTGCGCGAAGATCGAGACGAATGAAAATTGAAACAGACAAGGAGATAGTCGCGTCCTATGAAGCGCGCAGAAGAATAAAGTTGAGGATAAAAGAGGTGCGCGTAAAGATGGGAATAAAGGAAAATTGCAATGAAAAAAAAGGAAGGAACCAGAGGAAGGGATGCGCAAATGTGAAAAGGTGTAAAAACTTGTGTGAGGAAAAAGATAAAAAAAGGCGCACACATGTAACAGTATGAACACGTCCGTCGGCGCTCAAAACCGTGTGGCAATACGGAGAACGATAGACAGTGAAAGAGATACAATCGAAGAGATGACGCGCTTTTGTTAAGTGGGCGGGAGTTTGAAACATGGAATGTTAGTACACTGTTAACTGCACACATTATCAACCTGGCGCACGGGTCAAAACAAGCATTGAAGTCCCCATAGGATCTGCTTTCTCTACATCTTACGTGCATCCTAAGAACATGGAGACAGACACTGTAAATCAACGCAGTTTTTGTATTTTATACACTCTATATTTCTCTTACACAAAGAAGTAAAAAAATAAGCACAATAGAAACTGCATTAAATCGTTCAAGGCATTAAGTAAAATACGCGCTAAACGGAGACGCTAAAATGAACCCATTTACTCCCAAGACTGATCATAATTTAAATTCTCCTCACGGTATTAATACACCGACAAACATGGAGTCAATAACAATTAGAGAAAATCCAAACTGGAGGATAATCTTTTCCTAGAAACATAATGTTACATCGAATTCTCGGAACAAGCGGCAGCAAAGAGAAACACATTCTTATCAGTTGGGAGAATTTTTCTTCAGAACTAGGGAGTTCATGAGTTAATTAATATAAACTAAGGTAAATGAACAATTATCTTCAACTTAAAAAAAATAGCATCAAAACACTTCACACGAAATACACTAACATTATACAAACCATGTTTAGTTGAAACTGTCCCAGCATGTCTTTAAAATCCTAGTTACATTATATTCAACCACGCATATTATCAGACATCCTCAAATCATGCTGATGATGGTAAATTTAAATCATGGTAAATTTAAAGCAATAAAAAAATTTCAAGAGGTGATTTTTCAACAATTAGAAGTTTTATCCTGAAGCCCTGAACCTTTTCAACTACGCACTAGGTTTACATTAATTAATGAGCCTTTTCACCAAAATAATTCAAATTGAGGATTAAATGGCTTACGTTAACTGCTTCTCTCATTTATGAGCGTAAATATTGTCCTACTAGAAACAACAAATTCCATGTCACATACAATAAAAGTCACACCTATGGAAACTTTAATTATAGTGAACTCTGCGTCCCTCTTTCCTAGTTTAGATTACATGGACAATTTTTAGCCTCTCTGTCGTCGTTCTTTAAAACGAACGGAGAAGTGTTTGGTAAAACGGACAAAAATTGGCCAGACTCGTTTGATTGAAAACAGGGTTGTAGTCAGCTTTTTGACTAAATGTAAGCCTCTTCCCTCACAAATTTCAATGTTTGTTTCAACATTTGCAAGAGTCATACTATCTTTTAGTAAAAGTTAAGCGAGCAGAAAACAATTGTAGGCCGGGCCTACGGGACTAAAGGCTGGCTACACCCCTAAAAGTAGGTTTAATGTCTCTAACATATGGTTAGTAAATTTAATAACATCATCTCTGATGTTTACTTCTTCAAATTAAGCTTAGAATGACAATCTTGGCACTGACAGAACTAGATTGCATTAAAATGGATTGAGTTGAAAATGGTCATCAATTTTTTTGTAAAGATGAAGGTAAATTGTAACAAAGTAATTTATGATGTAGAAAACGGTCTAAGATCAATTCACATATTCAATTCACATACATATTCAATCAAAGTTTTGATAATAAAAATTCGTCAATTTTTGCAAATGACGAATTGTTTCTTTGCTTATCAAAAGCTTAGAGCATAAAGGTAATTAAAATCCGGTGGAAAAGCCCCTGGTTGGGTAAAAGAAATAACTTTTAAATTATTTTCCATACAACTGATTGTAATACAGGAACAGAGCTGAGTGACATGCAGGTGGAAATGGAAACCTCGATCATAACAGAGGCCTTGTTGCATTTCGTTCTCTTCGCAAGCATTTAAATTTGTTAAGGTAACAAAAAATGACAATTCCACTGATCAAAATATAATGAAATAGACTGGTTTATTTCTTCACCATAGTAAAGTTGCACATCTCAAGTTCCATTTAACAAAAAAATAAAAAGTAAAGAAAAATAGCCAAAAATTGTTTAAAATAGACAAACATTTAAACCTTCCAAGTTCCTACTTCATTCTTTTGAGATGAAAAAAAACATTTTCTCATTTATTTGATTTTCTATTCAAATTTTCTCTTTCCTTTGCCATCAGATCAAACGTGAGGTCATCTCCAATCAGCATAAAGGGCGCCCAGTATTTGATGTCGTGGAACTCATCTGATTCTCTGAGGCTTTTAATGGCCAGGTTCAGTGACTTGCTTGTAGGTTTACCTTCTGCAAGGTGTTGATAAAAGCATTTCATGAACTGGAGAGTAGCCTCGTCATCAATCGCCCACAGGGACACCACAACAGACCGAGCACCAGCCCCCATAAAAGCGCGCGCAATGCCAACCACACCTTCAGCCTTGATCTCGCCCCGACCACTGTGGCAGCAACTGAGCACAACAAGTTTGGCGCGAAGTTGAACATTCAACACATCTCGAATCGTTAAAATGTAATCCTTCTTCTCCGTAGGCACGGTAGATATTCGGTTTAGGTCAGGTGTAAGAGCAATTTCGCCAGTTTCCGGACATCCGTGTGCCGCAAAGTGAACTAAGGAAACGGAACTGAGTCTTTTCAACACCTCATGTTTCGTGGCTTGTCTGCCAGTGATTGGCGTGATATTCAGAATCTTTCCGATCATTTCTACTTCTTCTTTAGCACACGGAAGCTGCTCGAGGACTTTCTCTCCCACGCTGTTAGTAACCTCGGATACCCACGGATCTCCTACAAGTAATGCACCACTGCTTTTGTGATAATCATCTGGGCAATCGGCAATGAGTCTAAGACTTGCTAACGATGGAGCGACTCGGATTGTGAACGATTCACACAGGTATTTAGAATTACCATCCTTCAATGCAGCATAAGGAGCGATCCACAGGGGTCCATCAGGAATAATGAGGAGCTCATCCCCTTCAATCAAGTCAGCCACCGGCTTCATAACGATATCATACAAAGTGCTCAAGCATCCGTCTTGTTGGATGTGAGGTTGAGGGTTGGCTTCTTTGGTTTTCTCATCCACTTTTGAACGGCCCTCCCTCAAAGCATCTAAAGATCGATTCTCGCATCTCACATTAGAACGAACACCAAGTTGTGTATAGACACCGAACATGAACGACTCAAAGGACTGGCTAGATCCACCATTCTCTGAAACAAAACCTTTGAGTTTACTTTGTCTTAACTGAACTTGTTTTCCTTCGGACACAACCCAAAGATAGACGTTAGCTTTGTCCACTGCCTGAAAGACAGTGTTTGATAGAACGTTTTTTAAAACTGCGCAATCTTCATCTTCTCCCTTGTGGTGACTTGTTCCACCACGAAAACTGGATTCCATTAGGTCGGTCAGAGCTTGAGCTCGTCCTTTCTCAGCAACAAATAAGGCTTCATCTACATTACCTTGTTCTACGAGAACTCTCCACAAACCCGTATACGCCATTTGATGCTGATTTCGAAAATTAACTTTCCACTCATCTTTAGATTTTAAAAGTACTCTCAAGGAATCGAATAAGTTTATGCTAGCTTGATAATGTTCAACGGCTTTTGGCAGTCCACCTTGCAACTCAAAAACGCATCCTAATGAACAGTAGGCCATTGCCTCCAAGGATTTGTCTCCTACTTCTTTAGCTATTTTAAGATGTAGGTTGTGGTACTCTATGGCTTTTTTTAAATCAACCAGACGGTAATAAGCATTGCCAAGATTGCAATAAGCACGACCCTCCCCATGCTTGTCTCCTACTTCTTTAGCTATTTTAAGATGTAGGTTGTGGTACTCTATGGCTTTTCTTAAATCACCCAGACGGTGATAAACATTGCCAAGATTGCCATAAGCGTTACCCTCCCCATGCTTGTCCTCTACTTCTTTAGCTATTTTAAGATGTAGGGTGTGGTACTCTATGGCTTTTTTGAAATCACCCAGACTAAAATAAGCATTGCCAAGATTGCCATAAGCGTTACCCTCCCCATGCTTGTCCTCTACTTCTTTAGATATTTTAAGATGTAGGGTGTGGTACTCTATGGCTTTTTTGAAATCACCCAGACTGTAATAAGCATTGCCAAGATTGCCATAAGCGTTACCCTCCCCATGCTTGTCTTCTACTTCTTTAGCTATTTTAAGATGTAGGGTGTGGTACTCTATGGCTTTTTTGAAATCACCCAGACTGTAATAAGCATTGCCAAGATTGCCATAAGCGTTACCCTGCCCATGCTTGTCTCCTACTTCTTTAGCTATTTTAAGATGTAGGTTGTGGTACTCTATGGCTTTTCTTAAATCACCCAGACGGAGATAAGCATTGCCAAGACTGCCATAAGCGTTACCCTCCCCATGCTTGTCTTCTACTTCTTTAGCTATTTTAAGTTGTAGGTTGGGGTACTCTATGGCTTTTTTGAAATCACCCAGACTAAAATAAGCATTGCCAAGATTGCCATAAGCACGACCCTCCCCATGCTTGTCTCCTACTTCTTTAGCTATTTTAAGATCTAGGTTGTGGTACTCTATGGCTTTTTTGAAATCACCCAGACTATCATAAGCATTGCCAAGATTGCCATAAGCACCACCCTCCCTATGCTTGTCTCCTACTTCTTTAGCTATTTTTAGATCTAGGTTGTGGTACTCTATGGCTTTTCTTAAATCACCCAGTCGGTAATAAGCATTGCCAAGATTGCCATAAGCACCACCCTCCCCATGCTTGTCTTCTACTTCTTTAGCTATTTTAAGATGTAGGGTGTGGTACTCTATGGCTTTTTTGAAATCACCCAGACTAAAATAAGCATTGCCAAGATTGCCATAAGCACGACCCTCCCCATGCTTGTCTTCTACTTCTTTAGCTATTTTAAGATGTAGGTTGTGGTACTCTATGGCTTTTTTGAAAGCACCCAGACTAAAATAAGCATTGCCAAGATTGCCATAAGCTCCACCCTCCCCATGCTTGTCTCCTACTTCTTTAGCTATTTTAAGATGTAGGTTGTGGTACTCTATGGCTTTTTTGAAATCACCCAGACGGTGATAAGCATTGCCAAGATTGCCATAAGCGTTACCCTCCCCATGCGTGTCTTCTACTTCTTTAGCTATTTTAAGATGTAGGTTGTGGTACTCTATGGCTTTTTTGAAATCACCCAGACTGTAATAAGCATTGCCAAGATTGCCATAAGCCCCACCCTCCCCATGCTTGTCTCCTACTTCTTTAGCTATTTTAAGATCTAGGTTGTGGTACTCTATGGCTTTTTTGAAATCACCCAGACTATCATAAGCATTGCCAAGATTGCCATAAGCTTTACCCTCCCCATGCTTGTCTCCGACTTCTTTAGCTATTTTACGATGTAAGTTGTAGTACTCTATGGCTTTTCTTAAATCACCCAGACGGTGATAAGCATTGCCAAGATTGCCATAAGCTCCACCCTCCCCATGCTTGTCTCCTACTTCTTTAGCTATTTTAAGATGTAGGTTGTGGTACTCTATGGCTTTTTGAAATCACCCAGACGGTGATAAGCATTGCCAAGATTGCCATAAGCGTTACCCTCCCCATGCGTGTCTTCTACTTCTTTAGCTATTTTAAGATGTAGGTTGTGGTACTCTATGGCTTTTTTGAAATCACCCAGACTGTAATAAGCATTGCCAAGATTGCCATAAGCTCCACCCTCCCCATGCTTGTCTCCTACTTCTTTAGCTATTTTAAGATCTAGGTTGTGGTACTCTATGGCTTTTTTGAAATCACCCAGACTATCATAAGCATTGCCAAGATTTCCATAAGCTTTACCCTTCCCATGCTTGTCTCCTACTTCTTTAGCTATTTTACGATGTAAGTTGTAGTACTCTATGGCTTTTCTTAAATCACCCAGACGGTGATAAGCATTGCCAAGATTGCCATAAGCTCCACCCTCCCCATGCTTGTCTCCTACTTCTTTAGCTATTTTAAGATGTAGGTTGTGGTACTCTATGGCTTTTTTGAAATCACCCAGACTAAAATAAGCATTGCCAAGATTGCCATAAGCTCCACCCTCCCCATGCTTGTCTCCTACTTCTTTAGCTATTTTAAGATGTAGGTTGTGGTACTCTATGGCTTTTTTGAAATCACCCAGACGGTGATAAGCATTGCCAAGACTGCCATAAGCGTTACCCTCCCCATGCTTGTCTTCTACTTCTTTAGCTATTTTAAGTTGTAGGTTGTGGTACTCTATGGCTTTTTTGAAATCACCCAGACTAAAATAAGCATTGCCAAGATTGCCATAAGCACGACCCTCCCCATGCTTGTCTCCTACTTCTTTAGCTATTTTAAGATCTAGGTTGTGGTACTCTATGGCTTTTTTGAAATCACCCAGACTATCATAAGCATTGCCAAGATTGCCATAAGCTTTACCCTCCCCATGCTTGTCTCCTACTTCTTTAGCTATTTTACGATGTAAGTTGTAGTACTCTATGGCTTTTCTTAAATCACCCAGACGGTGATAAGCATTGCCAAGATTGCCATAAGCTCCACCCTCCCCATGCTTGTCTCCTACTTCTTTAGCTATTTTAAGATGTAGGTTGTGGTACTCTATGGCTTTTTTGAAATCACCCAGACGGTGATAAGCATTGCCAAGATTGCCATAAGCGTTACCCTCCCCATGCGTGTCTTCTACTTCTTTAGCTATTTTAAGATGTAGGTTGTGGTACTCTATGGCTTTTTTGAAATCACCCAGAATGTAATAAGCATTGCCAAGATTGCCATAAGCTCCACCCTCCCCATGCTTGTCTCCTACTTCTTTAGCTATTTTAAGATCTAGGTTGTGGTACTCTATGGCTTTTTTGAAATCACCCAGACTATCATAAGCATTGCCAAGATTGCCATAAGCTTTACCCTCCCCATGCTTGTCTCCTACTTCTTTAGCTATTTTACGATGTAAGTTGTAGTACTCTATGGCTTTTCTTAAATCACCCAGACGGTGATAAGCATTGCCAAGATTGCCATAAGCTCCACCCTCCCCATGCTTGTCTCCTACTTCTTTAGCTATTTTAAGATGTAGGTTGTGGTACTCTATGGCTTTTTTGAAAGCACCCAGACTAAAATAAGCATTGCCAAGATTGCCATAAGCACCACCCTCCCCTTGCTTGTCTCCTACTTCTTTAGCTATTTTAAGATCTAGGTTGTGATACTCTATGGCTTTTTTGAAATCACCCAGACTATCATAAGCATTGCCAAGATTGCCATAAGCGTTACCCTGCCCATGCTTGTCTCCTACTTCTTTAGCTATTTTAAGATGTAGGTTGTGGTACTCTATGGCTTTTCTTAAATCACCCAGACGGTGATAAGCATTGCCAAGACTGCCATAAGCGTTACCCTCCCCATGCTTGTCTTCTACTTCTTTAGCTATTTTAAGTTGTAGGTTGGGGTACTCTATGGCTTTTTTGAAATCACCCAGACGGTAATAAGCATTGCCAAGATTGCAATAAGCATGACCCTCCCCATGCTTGTCTCCTACTTCTTTAGCTATTTTAAGATCTAAGTTGTGGTACTCTATGCCTTTTTTGAAATCACCCAGACTAAAATAAGCATTGCCAAGATTGCCATAAGCTCCACCCTCCCCATGCTTGTCTTCTACTTCTTTAGCTATTTTAAGATGTTGGTTGTGGTACTCTATAGCTTTTCTTAAATCACCCAGACGGTGATAAGCATTGCCAAGATTGCCATAAGCGTTACCCTCCCCATGCTTGTGTTCTACTTCTTTAGCTATTTTAAGATGTAGGTTGTGGTACTCTATGGCTTTTCTTAAATCACCCAGACTGTAATAAGCATTGCCAAGATTGCCATAAGCGTTACCCTCCCCATGCTTGTCTCCTACTTCTTTAGCTATTTTAAGATGTACGTTGTGGTACTCTATGGCTTTTTTGAAATCACCCAGACTGTAATAAGCATTGCCAAGATTGCCATAAGCGTTACCCTCCCCATGCTTGTCTCCTTCTTCTTTAGCCTTTTTAAGATATAGGTTGAGGTACTCTATGGCTTCTTCTCCCCGATTATAGAGATCTATGACTTTCTTGACATCACCTGAACTTGCACTACCGTGGTCATGACTAATTGGATCTTTTTCCTCCATGGATTTATCTCCCACTTCACTGACAGACTGAAGTCTTAATGACAACAAGATCCTATTGTTTTTGTCAATCTTTTTTTATGTTAAGGGTTAAAAATGTGGAAAAAACAAAAAAGATTATGTTTCTGATCATATTGATATGTAATAGGCCATTTTAACATTTGCGTGCTTGGTTCTCCAAGCCTCTGAACAAGAGCGATGATTAAGGGTGAACTTGTTATGATAAAAACATTGCTGCTTTTTAAATGCAAACTACTTTGTTATTATCGTTTCTAGATACTGATCTCTATCACAACCAGGTCACCTTCAGCCTCACTCCAAATCAAAGGCTTGGCAACTAAGTACACAACTATAAAATGGCTCATTAGGAGGGCTTTTGTAGATGATTTATCAACATTCAGTCTTAAAGTCAGTTATGAAGTAAATCTACAGTTCAAAAAATGTTTTTCTGTGAGCAGCCTCACAATTTAACGCGAAATATCTAGATTTAATCCCTAGTTTCCAAAAACTGAGCAGCATTTGCTCAATTTTTAAATTAATATAGCTTTAATATCAGACAAATGTTTTACAGCAGTGGAAGAAATGAGTCTACAACACAAATACATGTCTTTAAAATTATTTGTCCATAACACAACGAAAGTTTCCGAGTCTCCAAGTAGTGGAAAAAGGTCGAAGGCAAGAACATCTGCATAAGATATGTAAACATTACCAAGCTTTTTTGTTCTGGCTTGTTTTAGAGAGATCATCTACCCAAGTACTATGTATAAACTGGATCAATATTAGTCTTCTAACCCTTTAACTCCTGTGAGTGACCAAAAGAGAATTTCTCCTTACAATAGCAATACAATATCAATCAGATAAGTGTTGAGAGTAAAAAATTATATATATCAATTTGAAAATAGTTAGTTGATGAAATACTGAATTCTGTGTACGAACATTACAAGAATTGTATGGTTGACAGTAAGGATAATTACCAACTTGGTCTGTGAATTAAAGGGTTATCTTAACTAATGTAGCAGTTATTGGCATGGATAGTATAACTAAGTCAAATTGGCTAAAAGGGTAATATCTTTAATAAGTCATGAGGTAATAACTTTTCCTACGTTTCTTAATAACACACACTTAAAGTATGTGAGCTGACAAGTTCCCATCATAATTAATACCCTTCTTTGTATTTTCTCCCTTGAAACATCAAATTATGGAAACTTTTTCCATTATACCCACGGTTAAAAATGAAAGATTCCTTCAAAGGATACAGCTAGTCCCTTATCACACCAACTGATTGCTTCTTCAAATCTCTTCAATTCAACACAAGCAGTGGCTCCTGTAGGTAACAACAGAAAGAAGCATACTGTTACTGTAGCTAAATTCTGAGAAAAGAACCTGAAACCATTGAGATCATTACAGACAAGAAGAAAAAAAGACAAAACAAAACAAAACAAAAAAACTAAACGGAAAAGAATAAACAGGCCTTATTAGGTTTCAGTTAGATTTATTTAGCTTTACAGACAACTAAAACTTCCAAGAACATTTAAATTGGGATCAACAACTCCCACAAAAACACTAAGAGTTAGTTAAGTCCTGATGCTTCTTTTTAAAACAGCCAGATAGTGACTTAAGAGCGTGTCCACGAGAACACCAGCAGTCGTGGTACGTGCTATCCCACCGATTTCAGTGAAACTTTGCCAATTTAAAGGGTCTACCCCTAAACTGAAAAAAAAGACTGGTTTCTGTTTTAGTTTTTCTGGAGGGAGATAGACCACCCCCTCCCCCCCGGTTTTTCTTGGTAAGTGGGGGTCATTTTTTTGTGACAGCCGATCAAAGATAGACATCTCTGAAACGTCTCTGAAACTCTTTTTAAAAAGAGTTTACACTTCCGGTAATATTTTCCTCCTTCTCGTAACAGCGCAACAGACATTGTTAATCCTATGTAGTGTACGTGTATCAGTTGTATTACGTCTTCATAGTGATGCCATATAAGAAATCGAGTGTCTAAAAAGTCCTCAATTTAATCTAACACTCGAATTGATAAAGTCAAGATGGTGCAGTTTTCTTTTTCGTTTGCAACTAACTGTACAACCAAATGTTATTTTTCTCGCGCTGGCCAGGGACGGAAACAGCTCACACCTCTAAATTCGTGGGTATACAGCTTTAAAAAAACATTCGAGAGACGTCGATGTATCCCAAACATGCGTTTCTTCCGAGATGGAGCTTATTCCAGCGCGTATTGGCTTATTTGGAGATTACGGAGGCCGCGATTTCACGATGTACCTCAAATATCGTGCACAACTTGGTGTGAGATTCAGACCCTCGGGTTCGTAAATGCCAGTATCCTCCTCATAAAAATCGGTGACATAAAGTGAGAGAGAGATGAATCTGCAGATGGCAGAAGAAATCAAAGCTGGTGGCGAGTCTTCCTGGTGGCGGCAAGGTGACTGTAAACCTAAATAGAACGCGTACTGTAGCTGCTATCTTAGAGTCGGTAATGAATAAGGAAGAAAGGCAAGAAGAGCGCTTATCTGAACATCAGTTTTCCTAACTGGTGATTTGTGACTGAGATGAACTTTATATCATATGATTGCTAGGGATACACAGGTACTGTAGAGGCGCTCACATAGATAGAGGTGGGCGATCCTCCCTCTCACTTAAGAACTGCGACAAGTTTATAGCGCAGACCAACTGGCACAGTTTGAAGCACCTCAGGGTCTCATTAGGCTCGTCACATTAGAAACCTTCAGCAAACTAATCGTAGAAGCGGGTGGTTATCAGCAACGTGCACAGATTTCTGAACGCGGGTCATCGTGAGAACTATACCCAATCCGTCATAGACAAAACAAGAAAGCGAGATATTCTTGCTAAAAGAAGGATGTATCAAGACGTTTCAGTCATTGGCTGCCATCCAAATGTACCCTGACAAAGACAAACACAGTGAGGCCGACAAAAAAATTCCGCCTACGATAAGATCAAGAGGGAATGGACTAAGACCGGCTTGCCATTCTATAGGGGATGGCTACGTTCAAGGTCGGACCTCAGGTAAAATTCTGACGAACAATCCCTAACCAGCAAAGTGGACTTTGGATGGACTCTTTGGAAAACACAAAAAACAGCCACCTTTTCTCAGAAAACAGAGAATTATCTCCTAGACGTGTGCTGGACAAGGGAGGAAACTAGTAAGGCAACCGCCTCTAATGTGACTTCCCAAATATCGAGTTTAAGAGACGACTTACCGGTTGATACAGCAGCAAATCGCTCGATACTTCAGCCGCTTATCTGCCGTAACAAAAATTGTTTTATTGATGAGGTCCCCCTGTGTAAATATGAATGAGGACGGAGAGGCCGATGCCAATGATCTAGCTTCAGAATTCGAAAGTGACCGAACAAGGCAGAAGATAAGGAGGGACCTTGCAAAATTTAGACGAAGACTGCAGGCATTTGCATCTCACTTTTCTTTCATATTTATCGTTTTTGCTCACGAAAACAACTGGCTATGTCTTGGGATTTCATCAAGGGAAATTTGCAGGAAGCCAACTCGTCAAATTACTGCTGGCTCATTCTTACTTAAAAATTTTACAATTAAACGCCGGCAACACTCGATCTAGAGAGATGTAGATTTATATGTAGTAATAGAATGCTTGAAAAAAATATGCAGATATTTTACTATCGAAGCAGGCAAATAATCATAGAGATCTGCAGATTATTCTGAAATTGTTATCTAGCAGACAGCATAAACAACGCGCTTGAATAATTCCTACGGAGAGTCTTCGGGTCACACAACAGATGTTAGCTTAGCGGAGTTCTGCATGGAAATGTTCGATGGCGGTAAGTGACAACGACTACTTTATTTTAATTTCATTTTCAGGATAGAAGCACAGTTTTTAATCCGATAGAACTATTGATATTTGCTCTCAAGCGAGAGCGCAGAATTTCTCGTCTTTAAAAGCCGAAGTTGTAGCATACTGGAACATGTAGTAATATAAACCAACACGCAGCATGTGACTTTAAAATCTCCTAAAATGAGCAATGATGATGATAAACCATCAAATTATAGACTAATGAATGTTTTGTGCCGTACAAAAGCCATATCTGATGTTTTTAGCAATCTTCAAAGTAATAAACGACTGAAGAAAGAAACGCTACGATTTTCCCATTGATTTTTCGTCTACATGCATCTCTCTAAACGTGAAATTTTCCATTCCTACAAAAAAATCTCGAAAGTTTTTCACACTTTTCACCTTTCTTGATCAATCATCTTGTATAAAGAGCGAAAACAATGTAGGTTTATTTTGTCAAGTGACCGCCAAGAGCAAGAATTGCGTGACAGGTGTAGTTGAGAGAAACTTGTAACAGTCGCAGATTTTAAAAGGCATCCAAGACAAAAAATACGGTAGTACCCAAATTTTTTTGATGATTTTAGAGATGAAACGATGGTTTATAAAGGTTAATTAAGATAAGTGTTGCAGCTTTCTGGAAACGGGAGATATTTGACCTCAAAGTTGTCAAATATTTGGATGAATCGAAAAGTCTAAAAACACAGTCGTATATTTGCCTCTGTTGATTGACAAGCCTCTCTCAAACTGACTGATACTCGCAACAGACATTAACCAAGGATGTAAAAATATGTGTGCAAATCCTCAAAGTAATCGATTAAATACCATCGCAGTGAGAGCTTCATACATTTTACCTATTTGAAGCGATTTCCTTGGTGAAAACCAAGAAAAACCGGGGGGTGGTCTATCTCCCGCCGGAAAAAACCAAAACAGAAACCAGTCTGTCTTTTTGAGTTTTGGAGTAGACCCTTTAAACTGGTAAAGTTTCATTGAAATCGGTGAGATGGCATGTAGCACGACTGCCCGGTGCTCTTGTGGACACGCTCTTAACATATCTGACACCTGTGACTCATTGAACTTAAGGAACTAAAATATTTATGCTGAAATTTTGCTTTCCATTCCGCATTGAGTTCTTCATCCCGTTCAAAATAATCTTCTCGTCATGATTAATGGAAAGTAATGGCGTAGCAGTCAAGAGCTCGATTCAAATCTACATCAGGGTGGTCTCGACCTCTTAATTAAAGTCAATTGAGACAAGACTGAACTCCATTTAACCTCATTTAACCTTAGAGTGTTGGGTTCTTTTATTATTATTATTATTATTATTATTATTATTATTGCACAGCTAACATATCTAACCTCTCACAATTGCCTTAAGGAAAGTTGGATTTATCTCAATGGCTGCTTCTGCATCCCTTAGTGAATCCTGGTGATTTCCTGTTATTGAAATAAATACCTCTGATTAGCCATACATGTTGCAAACCAACTACCATTACTATAATTTTGGGAAAAACTTGTGATGCTCATTGATATCTGGGGTAAGAGGTTACTTCTTTGTATATTTGAGAGGCCAAGATAAGATGTAAATTTTTTGCGGGCATGCATTCAAAATTATCACCGTTTTCAGAAAACTACCACTGACAACTCAATAGCTTCAAAACAGAAAAAAAATGCATATTAAAGCTCTCATCATCTTACCAAGTTTAGAATGTGCAATAGCCCTGTTGTTGTGCAGTTTGGCCTTCAGTTCTTTCTCGTTGCAGTTCATTTTAATTCCTTTGGTGTAAAAATGAATAGCATTGATGAAATCTCCTTTCTTGAAGGCCTCATTACCCTCGTTCCTATAAACATCAGCTGCGGCTGCAAAAAAAAACCCTAAGAGTGACCAGCATCTCATTTCTCCTTACAGTAATACTGCTGAATCATTCACTAAGCTCATGAGAATAAAGGAAATGATCACCAACCTAAGAAGTATTGATCTTCAAATGAATTCTCTTTTTCAGTACCACAAGAAACATACAAAGAATAGTATGGAGAATATGGATACTGATGTTAGGGTGTCAAGGGTTAAACACCTCCATATTCAATGATAAAACACTTGCACTCTACTGGAAATTGGTTGCTTGGGGGAAGTTGAAACTTTCAATTTAATGTTGCATAATATAATGGAAAGATGGTGATGATGATGATGGTACTTATGATGCAAACTTACGAAATGAATGTTATACGATGATCAAATAAAGTCTTTACTTCTTATAACTTTGTGTACTTGCTTTGAAATTTGAGAAAAGAAAATAACAAATATGTCATAGATCCTCTCAGTCAATGAACAGCATATTGTAATCATAGAAGAGAGTCATGACTGGCCAAATATCCTTTAAAGTGGTCATACAGTGTATTAACATAATTCTCCACATCTGCTTACATTCTTGAAACTGGTGGAATAGAAAACATTTTAACAGTGACTGAAGCCAAAGTTGAACCAAGCTCACCTTGTAAAGTGTTGTCATCAAAACCTGGAGCATTCTCTGTGTTAGGTAAGTCTTCATTTTCAGATGGAACCTTAATTGGACTTCTTTCTTTTGCCATAGCAACTGTTGGGGATGCTTCTTTCAAAAGTTGCTGTTTTAAGTCATCCTGGCCTGAAAAAAGATGGTTGCAAATGGTCAAAAAATTCCCAGCTGCAAAATAAACATTTTTCCCTTCTGAGAATGGGAGGGATACATAGACACAAAATCACAAGCAATTAATATTAATAGCATATTTAAAGCAGTAAAAGAACAAAAGATATATATACTGAAGAAAACAAGCATTAATATTTAAATAAATAGTAATTTACTTCTCATTACAATAAATTTCAAGATTTACCAAAGACATTTCTATGCAATTGACTGAAATAAATTGGGCAAAAATCAACATCTGTGTGTTTCAAGTTTATATAATTCGTAACAGTAGCGATTTAAATCATTTAAACTAAGAGGTGGTAGGTAGTTAGGTCCCATCTGGATTTGAAAAGTGGCCTGTCCAGGGCATGAGCTTTACTTAATCATGGTTTTCACATGAAGCAACTGGGAGTATTACTACCCAGCCCTGGACAGGATGGAAGTCCATTCCACCGTTATTTCCCCCCTTCACCCCCCTACCCATACCCATTTATACTCCTGGGTGGAGACAGACACTGTAAGAGTAAAGTGTTTTGCACAAGAACACAACACATTGACTGGAACCCAGACCTCTTGACCCTGAGTCCAGCACAGGCCAGGCTACAAATGCAGACCTCTTGACTGTGCGTCCACCTCACTAATCATAGGACCACCATGTCTCCGCAAGAGGAGAGAGTTTATGCTGAATCATTTCTCATAAGAAACAAATTTTACAACACCAAAGTAAAATTTTCTTATTTGATTTTTAAATAGGGATTACTGGTCAAAACTTATAAAAGATATATTTCATTTATTCAATTTCCTACGGTTGAGCTGATGCCCATATTTGTATAGGTGATTGTTAGTTCAACTGTTTCACTTTATCACAGGAAAAACAGTGAAATATTTAAATTTATGCATGCTGATGTATGTTGAAATGGATCTTAATTTGGTGCAGGTGCTGACATTTTGCTTTATTAGTATATGTATATTTAACTAATTGTTTTTGCAGTTATTCCATATTTACATTGTCTGTGCACAAAACTGATTTGTCTTTGATGCTAACTTTAACTCTCCTAATAATCATGACTGGTTGTTTTTTTAAATATCAAATAATCCTTGCTGGCTGTCTTCATGTACAAAAAAATTCAATAAATGTGAAGTAAAAAGGAAGTCAATTGAACTGGAATTCAAAATAGCCTGTAAGTGTATATCGCTTTTACAAAACCACTACAACTTCTATATAACCAGCTGATTGCCAGGGCTTTTTACAGAGGTATATTGGCCCAAGGTTGTAACAGTATAGGAATGACATGGTGCCAATATTCCCTAGTACCCTCAAGAGAGCAAGGTAATTGTAATGCACCAATGTCACTTGGACTAAACTAGTTTACAATGAATTTACATGTTTTATGATTTTCTGTATGGTGCAATGATGGTTTATGTGGCAAAATCCTGACCAAGTAAGAACCAATCAGAACTTTACATTTATCCCAAGACTACCTTGCCATATACAACATAAATTATCACCAAACACATACTTGGATGCATGCAGCCTCATGCAGAACTAAACCAGTTTTGATAAAAAATTGATCGGAAACATTCAGTTGGTATGATTATTGATTGATCGTATGTTGATTAGCAGATGACAAAAGGTAAAAACTTCACTCAGACACTAATCAATCATTACCAGTTAATGAATTGGACTCCTAAAACTCGAATGCAGTTAATTGAAAGGACTCTTGCAGTAAATAACTAGCTGAATTTGAAGAAAAATCAACTTGTCTCAATATTTAACAAAAATCAGTTTTACAGTACAGTTTGGAAGGACAATTTAAGCTGTCTATCGAAAAGAAAAAAATCACTTTCAAACTACAGTATAAAATGATAAACATCAACACATGAAATACGCTGAAAACGTTTATCGCTTTTTGATCAAATGCATCGTAAATACGGGAGCAAATTAAGTTAATTCGTACATAAGCCCGACATGAAAGCTTGTTAAACACGATTGTGTGCATGCTCCACATGACACGGAAACGAAACTGAAAGTGTTGCGATCAATAGGGCTTGCACTGAATCAAATCGATAATTTGGATATCCTTTGTAACTCTCCGAATTACTTATTTTGTCCAAGGTAAATGGCAGGCATTGCTTGCGAATTTTTGTGAATTGAAAGCTGTAACTTGTTAAAATAAGCTCAGCTTAATAAGCTTTACAACTAACACGAAGCGGCAATACAGTTAATACACGCCAGAATAAAGTAAAGTTGGCAATCGTTGTCACTTAACTGCCGGAACGTCTTTCATTGTCGGAAATCAGAGAAAGTTCGGACAGACGAGGAACATTTGAAGGAGGAAATCTCAACTAAAAAAATTTGAAATAAAAGTATTTACTTTATACTCAAAAATCTGATACAACCATGCGTTCTTACCTCGTCGCAGAAATGGAAAGCACGTTTGACTATTTTACGACCTTGCTTCCTCAGTCCGTCATGAAAATGTTTCAAAGTCACTAAGACAGAGAAAGTACTAAGAAGACTCGAAAGCTATGTCATGGAACGGAGAATCGCAACGGCGCGTTGTGAAAATGAAACAGGGAGTTTCTTGGCCCATAAATCTGTGCAAGCTTGAAGCCGGAAATTCTTCAACGTAAATTGAAAAAGAAGAGCCCACATATGGGCGGCTGTCACCGCCAAAAATACAAAAATAGAATTGGTTTGTAATAACAGATAGAGTCTAATTGTCTTTTGGAGAACGATTTATCTTATCGTTAGAGATTTATTTAAAATACAAATGGACAAGTCGCCTTTGGTGAAATGAAATATTCAAACAAAATATGGTTTATACAATTCAGGAGCTGTGTAGCCACCCTAAGTTGAACTGATTCAATAAAAACACGAGTGGCCAAGTGTTAACTGAAATGGTTCAGTGTCGAAATGACAAACGGTTCAGCTAACTGTACTTTGGTTCAGTAACTTGACACAAACGGTTCAGGGAAGTGTGAAATGGCTTAGGTTATCGGCAAATGGTTAATCGTAAGCCGCAATGGTTTAGTATCGCATCAATCTAATCACCGTAAAGTGAAATGGTTTAGCGTGACCCCAAATGGTTTAGCGTGACGACAAATGGTTTAGTACAAACCGAAATGGTTTTAGTGTTACAGCAGTTGGTTTACGCCGTAACCGCCAAAAATATTAAAGGGAAATGGACAAGTCAAGCTTGAAATTGAATAGCATAAGAATCTAAAGTGTGCCTCAAAACTATAAAAACTATATAGTTGTTAGGCGCCCTTTAGTTGTAGTTTCGTCGTCTTAAAACAATGAATCGCTTTATCACGTTTCCTGGCTATAGTTCTTACTGTCTAGACGGTAAATGTGCTGTCGTGTAAAATGATGCATTTTATCTGTATTTTTTGTTATTCTTTTGTTTCAGATTCTTATTTTATATTGAGGTAGAAAAGTGGGGAATTCTTACCATGACCAAGGTAAGAATTCTCCATTTAAAGTACAGCAGTTTTCACTTACAGAAACTGAAAAGAACAAAAGAACAATTTAGAACTAGCTAATAGCAATTTAAACTCCCAACATGGTTAAGCCGCAACTATTAGAAATTTTACAACCTCAAGATTAAGTCTCTAATAGTTGCGGCTTAACTTAGTTTTAACAAACTATAAAAATTGGAGTTAAAAAAAAGCATATGGTTTGAAACGATAGGAAAATACATCATTGTGAAAGCTTACTTTCATTTTCAGTAAATGATTATTGAGCTACTGAACGTTCTGCAGCTCGATAAAAACAGTTTCATCCGAAATATCATTTACTTACTGATATTGCGGTAAGATGATGAGGGTATAAATTTATTCGCTAGCAAGCTAAAATAGACAAATGTGAAAAAGGTTATTACCGGAGTGAGGCTCTCTGAGTCTAGTAGACGAGGCTACAGAAATAATTTGTTCCTGTGTTAAACGTCGAGTGGACGGCGTAGCGAATACCTCTTTCTGGCGAATTTCGCGCCAAATTCGATCTGAATGACGTAGATTGTGACATTAGACCCCACATAGACTGTTTCATTTCAAGCGCTTGACTTGTCTACTTCCCTTTCGGATTTTTGGTGGTTATTGCGTAAACCAACTGTTGTAACACCAAACCATTCCGTTTTGTAGTAAACCATTTGTCGTCACGCTAAACCATATGGGGTCACGCGAAACCATTTCACTTTACGGTGAGTAGATTGATTCGATACTATACCATTGCGGCTTACGATTAACCATTTGCCGATAACTTAAGCCATTTCACACTTTCTGAAACGTTTGTGTCAAGTCACTAAACCAAAGTACAGTTTATAGCTGAACCGTTTGTCATTTGTCAGTTAGCACTTGGCCACTCGTGTTTTTACTGAATCAGTTCAACAAGGTTGGCTACACAGCTCCTGAATTGTATAAACATTTTTTGTTTGAATATTTCATTTCACCAAAGGCGACTTGTCCATTTGTATTTTAAATAAATCTCTTAAGATAAGATCAAGTGTTCTCAAAAGACAATTAGACTATATGTTACTGATTACCTACCAATTATATTTTTGTTTTTTTTGCGGTGACGGCCGCCCATAGATGTAACTTTTGAGAATATAACTTACTATCGAGAAAAAAATTATGACCCAAAATGAAGAAGACTTGATAAAATAGAATAGTTGATGTATTAACACAAGGCGAGGGGTGAGAAGAAGAACCAGAGTCACGAATGAAGGAATAAACATGAGCTGATATAGAATTGCCTAGCGGTGAAAAATACACAGCGAAGCCAGCCACACTATTGTTAGCTGTTCTGAAAAAGGAAAGCGGCATTTTTTTGCACTGATATGCGGTGGATTGGACCCTGAAACAAGCAACATCACGAATCCTGTTCGGAAGTGAACTAACTAGTTACCATAGCAACAACAAACTGAA